AAGAGCGGGAGGGAGGGAGGGAGGGAGGGGAATGAGAGAGAAAAAAAGAGAGAGAGCTCTTGTTCCTGCAATTCTGAAGAGCTTCCAGACTTCTACAGTGATTCCAGGCTATGCCATATGATTTAAATCACCAGAACTACTATAAAGAGCTCCACTGTTCATGCTGCCAGCCTAGCACAGCAGCCTGCCTCTCTGCCTCTTTCCCCCAGGACCAGAGGCCCAGACATGGGGTCCAGAGCAAAAGAATGGAGGCAGCAGTGCTGATGGGGGTAGGGGGTAAGGAAAATGAGATCCACTGATTGCTAACTGCTGCTGTCACTTCCAACTATCTTCTCTTGAGGTAAGGCTCCCGTCCCACAGAGTCATTTTGGCTCTAACCTCCCGCAGCACGCTCATCACTCTGACTCCACACAGTAGGCACAGACAAGTCCGGCTCAAGTGTGGACAAGGCTCCAGTTATGCCCCCACTTCTGACTGTTAATGTAAGTGAGGGAAAAATCCCAGTAAAGCCTCCAATTTTCTTTTTGCCTTTTGCTTCCCTAGTATGATTTCATGAGTGGGTGGTGTGATCAGCTTGTTTTTTTGTGTGTGTCTTTGAAAAAGAGCAGAGCCAAGGAATTTGGAACTGCTGTGGCCTGTGAATCTGGGAGAAAAGACAGAGGAGAGACAAAGGAAAAAATCTTGGTAATGAATTTGATACAAACAAAGGGGGTGGGGGGGTGTCTAATACTGAACTGCTGAACTGAGGGAAAATCACAGAGGGACAGCGACAGGATCTGGGCACTGGGGGGCACTAAGAGGTGGCACTGTGCCCAGGAAAACGAGAAAGAGCTTTCCTAAAATGCATACACATGCAATCAAGCACTGAGAAAAAACTCCACACGTGTGAGAGCACCCACTGACACACATACGCACGCACACCTCTCACCGCTTGCTTTTTGCTCTGGCTCCCTCCCTGCCTCTCTTTCTGGCTCTTTCTCTTTCAACAGAGCCAGTTAATTACACCCTACTGCTGCAGGCAGCTTCAAACAACCACTAATTTAGAGTTCCATTACAGTAAACTGTTCCACATGTGTATCCAGAGCCCAGGCAGGCTTGGGGAGCCACGTTTCAGGAAGGAGCAGCCGCTGATAGGCACCAACCCCCATCCTGCCAACACAGCCATGCTGCCATCTTTCTCTTTCTTTCCTTCTTTTTTTATGTACTTCTTCTTTCTTGCAATTCCCATTTCCCCTTCCACGCTATCTTTACATTTTTCCCCTTTTCTGACCCACTCCACATGTCCTTTTGCCCATTCCTCTCCACCACCTCCCCCCACCCGCACCCAATCTCCATCCCTCTACTTGCTTATACAACTTGTACACGACCCTTTGCAGCGGTTCCACTGTGGGGCTAGCACACAAAAATATCACTAAAGATTTTACAGTGAGCCTAATGGGAGAAGAGGTAAAGACTGGAAAAATACATCTGCCAGCAACACACAGGCTCTCAATGTGTGTGTACACATGTGGATTATGAGTATGTACTTGGCCAGCGTCTGGCCCGTTTGGGTATCTGCCTCATGAACTCAAACCAGGCCCCATGAAAGCTGTACAATCTGTCTGAAAGTTATGGGAGAAGAGAGAAGGATAAAGAGAAAAAGGAAGATGTGTGAGCCAAAAGAAGAATCATGGCAGAGAGAGCAGGACTGTACTCATGTGACTTTTGTATTCCTACTGGAGGAAACAATAGTACATTCACCCAAAAATCAAGCTTTGTCAGGATACCCTGGCAAAGTGGGAAATGCTCTCTAAGCACTGCGCCACTGTATTCACAAAAACAAAGAAACAGCTAAAGAACACAAAGAAAGACAGCCTTTTAAAATAAAAGCCAGTAACTTTACTCTCCCCAAACACATTAATGAATTAACAGACAAGTTGGCGCCAGTGCTTTTTAATGAGTCACATCAGCTTTTGACAGAGCCATTTATGTTTTATGTTGGATCCTGTGGTACAATCACTTCATCTGCTCATCGGGGCAATAAGGGTATAGGGGGAATTTGGAGTGACCTCATTCCCCTGTTAGCCAGGGCCAAATGGGCATGAAAGGGCTCCCAACTTCCCCTGAGCCTAGGGGGCACACAGGAGGCAGCAGGCGGCCAGGCCGGCAAGAAGCACCAGGGCCAGCTGTGGGTGGGTTCATGGCTGCTGCTGGGACTTTCCTAAGAGCTGTGCTATTATTTAACATTTATTTTGTTTCTGTAAATGGTGGTATGTCAGATCTCCCAGTATGATTGTATTAAAGCAAACTCATTGGTCTCACTTGAGATAAATGATGATTGATGATTTTAATTGAACAAGATGCAACTGAAATGAAAGCAATGGCCAGATGAAAACAGGTAAGACAAGATACGGCACACTTAGGCAGAATGAGATTCCCTTGTCTGATGATGAATCCGGACGGCAACAAAAAGACAAAACATGATTGAGTGGGAGTAAAACAGAGAGAGAGAGAAGCGTTCCCACAGACTGAATGTCTGTCATATAAAGGGTATCAAATCCTCAGTGAGCAAAACAACAATTGTGACTTAACCGTTGTGATGGAGAGAGGCTCCTCAGGCAATAAGGACTTCAGTCAAACATAACAAATAAATCACGGCATCTCAGGAAGCTCTGCACCACACAACCAAGAAAGGCAGTGGGTTTTTTAGTCAGCAGCAGAAACCACAGGTGATTATTTGGCGTATATGAGAAGGATTCTGGGTGCCACGGCAGCCCCAGTTTGTTTACTGGAGGACGGTTCTTATTCCAGTCAAGGAAAACACGCAAAAATTACAGTAACTGTGTGTGATGTTATATTGAGTTATAATTGCATGTTTGTCTTTGTGGATATTTGCCTTTGAAGACGTTTTCACGAATCTTCTCTTTGCACACCAACTTTTGCAGAGACTTCCTTTCATTTCAGTTCTGGGAGACTGTGAGTGAGTTCACCGCTTTTTGTTGAGTTTCTTGAACTCCGGAGAAGGCAAGTTTCACAAATCTTCTGCATGGTAAAATAAAAATGTTTCAATCAGACAGAGCGGAGCAACAAGTCAAAATCTTTAATGGAAGGAGCAAATTAGAAATTCACTGCCCAAAGATAAATGAACTGTACCATATGTCCTGCAGGAAAAGCTTGGCACAGTCACCGAGTCCTCCCAGTCGTTTTCCACCTCCGACTTGCCCACTCCTGCTCAGTTTTTGACAGATAGCTGCGCATGTCTCCCAACTGTCAACATCACAAAGTGATTTATCCTCAGTAACTTTGTAAAGGAAATGACCTGGAGCACAGACTTATGTTTAAATGTTGGGTTGTGGATGAAGTCATACTATCACAGCAGTAAAACAATAATTTTACAGTCCATGGATCCTAACCGAGTTCACAGACTGGCTTTCCAACTGCTCAGAGCAAAATCCCTATTTAGTGTCATCACTGCTGCTTAATGTGCTGACCCATCAGAAATGAAGTGTCACAGAACAATTAAAAATAAAAACTCTCATATTGAAACGAGATCATGTGAGCGTTATTCAATCCTGCTGTTGGCGTCAACAGTATTTTGGCAGTGGAAACAATACCCTCAATGCTATTATCTGACACAAAGCTGACAGCTCCCAGTCTTTCAACAAGTGGCTGGCTAATGGTTCGGAGAGAGACACCTAGTGACAGACGGTCCAGTGTCTCCAAACAAACCTGCATTCCATCACCTCAAACTTGCTTGACATCTGCCCACTCTTGTCAGCATGCAGACACACACTTGTTTACAGTAACAATGCAAAGTAGCACCCCTGTGTAATCATATGTCACTTTAAAGACGTATTGTTTTTTGGGAGTGCCACTGGAACGCGTACTTACACATTCTCTGTTTTATGTCTATGAATTATTAAACATTAATTCTTAAACCTTTTTTTGTCCTGTCTCTCTCTCTCTCTCTCTCTCTCTCTCTCGTTTCTTTGTTTAACCATAAGCTGTGCTGACTTATGGTGGTGGAGAGAGGTATGGAAAGAGCGAGAACTCACAATGAGAAATAAAACACTTTGTGACGTGATGAAGTCATCCTGACAGCTTGTTGTTTCCATGATGTGGAAGAGCTCTTCGGAGTACTCAACATGAAGACTCCAGCAGTGGGTCAAGCAAAAGGAGAACACACACCACAGCAGGAAAAGTCAAAGACAGATGATGGTAAGAACTTTGGAGAAATAAAGACAAAGCCAGAGACACAGGAAATAAAGCAAGGCAACAAAGTTCAAAATGGCAAGAGTGGGGCAGCTATTCTTCTAGATTTTTAAGGTAAAGCTGGTGTGACTAATTCATCTTGTGCAGCAAATACTGAAAGTGGAACCGCTGAGGAGTCACACAAACATCTATGAAGGTGTTTCCCTTTGACAACTCAAAGAGAAAACAGTCCCTTCTGTGTATTAAGAGATCTACAGTATAATGGATGGGTTTCACCACCAACACTTTTAGCCTCGGGAGCCAAAACAACACTCAAGACACAAGCAAGCCTGAACATACACATACACGCATGCAAAACGACACACACATTAACTTTAGTTTCACTTTGTGCCAAAAGATCTTTTAATGACAGCTTGGAGGCAGGCTGAAAATGTACACCTGCAAAAATAGACATCGGAAATGGTGTGCAGATAGTTTCCATGTTTATTATAGTGTGGTAGTGGAGAGCCCCTCAGTTCTCCTAAAACCACCTGTCTGACCCCTCCCTACCACTTGGCCTTAATTGCTATAGAAATTCCAGAAAAAGACAGGTATCAACAACTCCCAGATTTACTGCTCAAAGTCATACGACAAAAGAGGGCTGTTGTTTGATTTTGCAATACAGAAGCTTTTATGCGTCAGCTGTTGTTCGAGACGTTTTACCTGAGAACTATTACCACACAAAGCACCAGGTCTGTCAAACTTTATAAAGTTATCAAGTTAAAAAGCATACTCTGTACTAAGATCTGGACACTTTTAAATGTTGATGGATTTACTGGAAGAATGTGTCTAACAAATTAAATAATGTTTTTTTAAGTCATTATTACCTGTTTCTCCTGTTTTAATAATGAACTTTTTAGTCTATACCATGTGTCTACATTTAAGCCATATAATGTGTGACTGAAAAATTAGCACTAATCAGTATATATCAATACAAGAAAAAATGAGCTGTTGGAATAATAAAATAGTTAATTCTATGAACGCACGGTGTAGTTTACCTCTACATTATAGCTGATCTGTACTGACAGAGAGCATGCAAGCTATAGTCTATACCATGTGTCTACATTTAAGACATATAATGTGTGACTGAGAAATCTGTACTGACAGAGAGCATGCAAGAATGATAAGGTTATGTTGCTTGATGTGTAAACAAAAAAAGGGAGGCTGTTTCTGATGAGGCTGATGAGTGTAACACACTCATGATCACAAAACCAAGAGTAACAACAGACACTCATCTGGAGTATAAATGTTATGTAGCAGTTAGCACAAATAACTGATTCCAAACTCTCATTGAAAACAAGCTAAATGCTCTGACTAAATGCTGTGAAGGTAAAGCAGCGCTGTATAGACAACCTGTACTGATTTAACACCCTGGGCTGCTGCTCTGGAGGGAGAGATCCCCGAGATGTCTGTCTGCCTCAGAGCTGAGACTCTGTGTCACACTGACAGACCAGATGACAGCAGAGGGCTACACAGCAGGCAGCCCTCACTCAGCCACATGGGTGGGTTTTTGTTTTTTTCCCAATTCACTTCAATCAAACTGTCACTCACACTTACGTCAGGTCCACTAGGGGAAATAAGCAGTGGACAGCAGGTGCACAGCCAAGGGAGTCCAGCTGCAGCGCTGTGGAAAGCTCCACTCTGACATCAGGAACCTGATGTTTATCTGCTCTCCAAATTACTCACCATTAAATACACTGTGTTACACACAGCCGTAACAAGTGGAACCTGTTAACCTAGCACTTATGCCAGCATCAACAAACAATCTTCACTGACATGCTGCTAACTATGGGAACACCATGAATAAACTTACACATAAACTCAGACGAGAGCTGCAGACACACCTCACTCCTCTGCTGTTTGAAAGATGGAAAACAACATTTCTCTTTTCCAAGTGTTCATATGTTGGTTATAAAAAATAAAAAAAAAACAGGTCAAGGACTGGTGAACACATGCACACTAACGCACACATATGCTAATAATAAAGCGCTCCACAGGCACTGGGTAACACTTGAAATGCTCACTAATATGTGAACACAAGCACATGCAGACGCGCGGACACGGCTCAAGTTCGTTTTCATATAAACTCCGTGTCACACTCACATTTATAAGGCAGAGAAAAACAAGCACACTGAAACGCTGCATGCGAACCAACATGTGTCAGGACATTTTAGTGTTTCCACATGAAAATCTGGTGAGGTTTCAGGAAAACAATGATTAATTGTATCGCAGCCTCTCAAGTGTCTTGCACACTCAGCCTCTGTCTTCAATTAACACTGTCGACCCATTCCCAAAAAATGTAGTCTCTCTCTTTCTCCCTACTAACAGAGAGTGAATGAGAAAAAGGGAAATAATGACTAAAGTTGCTGATTGTTAAAGTTTCATGTGTAAATTACTCACCAGTTCTAGTGTTGATGAGGTAGCCAGGCAGATTAAGTAGCTGAGTGAACCGTCCTAGCCATGGAAAAGGAGAAAAGATGTTGGTACGTTCATCAGAGTCCTTCTGACAGCAAAGACAGAATAGCAGAGCCGCTCTCTCTCTCCCTCTCTTGCACTCTCCTCCTCTTTCTGTCTCTACCTCTTAAAATCACTCCTTCACTCCCCAAAGACGCTCACTAAGAAACAATTATAGTCTCTAATTCATAAAGCCTCCCCTTGTCATGTGACCAAACACTTCAAATATACGGCACTTTTTTTATTTCCACAAAGCCACAAAGTGCCTGGAGGGAAATGAAATGCCCAAAGAGCTAAAGTTTCTGTTTTTAATTCTCTCTCGGGTGAATTCTTTTTCTCTCCTTCATCCTCTTGGCTAAGCAGTCAAAGTACCTACAAACTGTTTGTGGATGTCCAAAGGCAGAGCCATGTGGTGATCTCAGACTATTCATGCTTCACCAACAATATCACAGTTTAATAGTCGAGAAGGTTTAAAAGTCATTTTTGATTTAACTGGTTAAATCTTCCAGGAACATCTAAGTTTTTACTCTCTTGTTCCTGGTGTGATCATTTCATGAATGATCAGAATGGGACGGGCTTTTCCGCGGACAGTCTGCTCACTACCGGCATGTACTGTAGGTGCTGTTTTCAGGTAACTCATGTTTGTGTTTGAACTGTTTCTGACAATCTTCCCAGAGCAGTGATAACAAATCACATTTACTAATGCTACTACTCCTGACAGGATGATATGTTAAAACTAAAGAAGTACTGGATACAACAATAGCTGATCGAATATCTAAAACAGTCTGTATTTATTTTGAATAAATACAAACCAGAAGTTGGCATGCAAAGCTAAGATTTCTTTGGCACACACAACATCTGTCAACATCATGTAAAACATGATACGGTTAGGGATCTTTTTAAGTCGAGATTATCTGAAAAACATCTGCAGGTTTCTGAACCTAAGTCAGTTTACTTCCTAAAACTAAACTAATGGTGGCACATGAGCTACAAGGAAGTTCATTGTGAGATGGCAGAGCTGTGCAGCAACAGCAGCGACAGATGTGGGTGTGCCCTGAGGGTGCCCCTCTCTCTGTATGAGATCATATGTTTCAGATCTGTGTTTGTGTGTTTGCGGTTCTGGGCGTGTGCCTTGTTTCTCTGAATGTAATGCTTCTTGAGTTGTTTTGGTTATGAGAAGCACATCAGACCTCAGAACTGGGAGGAGAGGGCACACCTCAACTGGCACCTCAACGGGCACTTTGTAAAGAAAACAGTGTAAACACATGCATGCTTCTTTCCCACTCAAAATAAGCCACATCTAGGCCAATTCATGTCTAAATCAAGTAAGTGCAGCAAGAATTTTCAAAAAAAAATTCTACATGCACTATACTTTTGAAAACAGTGTCCTTCAGGCAAATTTACCATCTATCGCTTCTTTCTTCCAGATGTCACAGTTGAAACTAATGCAGCATGCAAGACTTTTGTTTTAGTCTTCCAGGCTACCCGTACATTTAAGGCCTGCTTTAGCTGCTGTTTATTTTGTTTGTAAACCTCAGTCACTGGCCTGAGAGAGACAGAGATCCTATTCTCAAATACATCACTAGGTGTCTAGGCTAAACAACAAAAAAGAAGAACTTCTCAGCCTCATTTTTGTCATTCCAACGGCCTTTGCAGCCACATATGCTCTATAGTAGACTACTAAAATGTTCTTTCACAGATTTTTGATGTGGATTTGCCAGTACATAATCAGGAGGAATGGACTGATAAGCAGAGAGAGGCACAGTTAGCTTATATTCAGAAAGCACAGATCTAAGCCATACTGCAAAAAGCACCTCAGCTGATCCTTATCTTGTTTACATTTGATTTAAGTGTCACTAATGAGGCCAGCAAGGCCAATAGAAATGCCTTAAATGTTTACATAGCAGTACTACAGTGGTGGAAGAAGTACCCAAAGTGCTTACTTAAGTAAAAGCAGCAATACCACAATTTAAAAATACCTTGTTACAAGTAAAAGTCCTGCATTCAAAATGTTACTTAAAGTACAAAACAAAAACAAGAATGTGTTACAGTCAGAGGTCACTGGATAAACTACCACTATATTAGTAATATTATAATTGGACTTCTGAGTGATCAGAAGTGTGAAGTCAGTGCGATGCCATCAGGTTGACCGAGACCATGCGTTTGGGTCAGAACGTGCAGTCAAGTGCATGATGGTGGCTGAGTATGGCAATACGCAGAGCGTGCTGTGCTGCTTATTAAATTATGACAGCAAGCTTGAGCAGGGTGTGTGTGTAGGATTTGCATATGTGCAGCCATGCAGCATGCATGTCTGCATTTGTGGTGTGCGCGGGCAGTAGCAGCACAAGGTCAAAGGTTACTAGTGTTTGTGTTTCAGTGTCAGTGAAGTGTGCTCCAGGCAGAGATTTATGATCATTGTGTCTGGGAGGCTGCAGAGTGGGGGATAATGAAGATAGATCAGGGTGCTCTCTCTCTCTCTGGGCACCACTGGAAACATGGCCTATGGCCCCTGCCATTCTCATACCATTAACTTTAGCCTGTGACATCACAGAGCGCTGCCCCAGCATCAGTCCTAACAGAGTGTGCTCTGACAAAAAGTCAAATGCAGAGAGGCGATTCCTCACAGGTAGTCATCTTCATAAACACAGACATTGTTGGGTGCATAGCTTTGCAGCTTCTCCTGGGTGTGTTGATGAAGATATGAAATATTCATGGAAAACATCACACTCAGTCGTATGTTTCCATTTTAGATTCTACTATTTGCATTCACAGAGCTACTGAGAGGACGCCTGGGGCTCACTGGCTGGGAAAAAGGAGCAATGGCAGAAAGGAGAGAGGAAAGTGGGGATGATGGAGGGAGTAAAAGAGGGAGGAAGTGAGGTTAGAGGGGTTAAAGAGAGATGGAGTGAGGGTGGGGAAAAGCAAAGTGGGCCACTGGTACAGGGAATGTGAGAGGAAGGGGTGTGAAATAAAAAGAGGGAGGGTGAGATGAAGAGAGGGGCAGATTGTACAAGAAGGGTGGGTGTGTGTGTGTGTGTGGGTGGGTGGGGTGGTGCACGTGGAGTGGTGGTGGTGGAGAGGTGAGAAGGGGCGCAGGGACCTGGCGGCAAGTTTTAATCAGTAACAAGATGCCTGTAATGAGATCACTGTTTCCCAACATTCAAATGGATGTCATGTGAAGTTTGGTGCCTCACCAAGACAGGCATGGCACGCAGGATGTGCACACACACAACACACAAATATACACTTGCTCACACTTTCTTGGTTACAGACTGAAACACACATCCTGTGAAATGAAGGAGTTCATTCATCCTGCCTGGCAATGAGCGCTCATTTAGACTCCAACCGTCTTGAAATAAAAACATACACGGAGGAATATTGCTCACAGGAAAATAAGTTACTCATGGCAAAGGAGAAGTCTATGTGTTAGGGGCCGCAGGGTATATACCACTCTGTACTCCTCTAACAAAAACAAATGAGCATGAAGCTTGGAACAGAGAGAGAGCCAGAACCTTTTTTTTTACTGTAAAAGAAATGAAGGGAAACAGAAAAGGAGAGGGGGAGAAAGAAAATAAAAAGAGAGCATGTGTGTTTTTGAGCATAGTTCGGGGTGCATTCAGAGGCTACCCGTGTGTGTGCCAGCACATGAGTGCTCTGGTTGTTCCCAAACATGTGTGTCCAATGAAAGGTGGATGGCTCTCCTGTCTATACTTTCCTCAAAAATCAGCCATGATGTCACCATGAACCCATCTTGAACCCACCTGTCAAAAAATATTACCCCAGCCCTCCCTCTCTCTGCTCCACCTCTCCCTCCTTCACGCTCTGTTCCTGCCTCTCGAATTCTTCACTGAGCTCTATTTCTCTTTCCTTCCTCATTTTTACATTTCCGTATTTTTCAACATTTCCCATCTCCCATCCGTGTCTCTTCTCTCTCTCTCACTGCATTCACTGAATCACACTTTTGTTGGCAAGCGTGGTCTAACTGAATCCCCAAAAAGTACAGTCATTTGCTAAAAATGCCAGAATGCTCTGATTATCATAAACTTTGTTTATGCTGTGATTCTGCAAAAAGAAAAAATGCTCAGAAAATTTTAAATGAGAAAAGGGGGGAA